ATGTTTTATTTAATCCTTTAAGTAAAAATTTAATTGAAACGACGGATTGAGCACATAAGAAGAATACAGAAAAAATTTTCTCTATCTTTCTTTGTTCACATCGATGGAAACCCGGATCGTAAATTTTTCCATGTGTGATGTATGTGCCCCGCGGTGCGTCGAGAGTTTGACGCACTTTCAGGGTCGACGCATTTTCGCTGTACGAGGCTTACGAATGCACCGTGCGTGTAATAAAAGTTCTATAAGTATATAGCGCAACAGAGGAGAGAGGAGAGAGAGAGAGAGAGGGGGGGATCAGAAGCGTTGCATCCTTTCCTGGAGATAATAGAGAAAAGTGGGAGAGAAACCAGAAATAAGCTAGAAACAAGCGAATATTTAATTTTATTGTTTATATGTGTTAAGTAAAACAAAGATTTGAGAAAATATGTTTAGCTGTAAAGTATAAACAAGTTTAAAAAGTCATCTTTTTGGGAGAAGTTCACAATTTTGAAAGATAAATTAAATGAGTATGGATAAATTCCAACAGATCACAACTTGTATAGAAAATAACATCAATGTCATTGCGATTCTGTAAATGCGTAAATTGAGATTTCAATACATACAGTACCTATGAAAAACGCTGTAATGTAGATCCGTTTCTGAAGAAAGACGAAAGAAAGAAGACACGTAGTGCGTCCGACAGGAAGGAAGAGACGATGGTACATCCGTGAATCTAACGATCAAATCTCAACGCCAGTGTAAAATGCAAAACAGCAGCGAGCGCTGAAGTGAGCGCGGCGAAGTAAGATACGGTAGAAGCACTTCTTCCCCCGAATGCGGATTCCACGATGCGTGGCGACCAAGGTGGAGGTCGGGTGCTCTCTGGCGAATCTCTCCTCGTTCTGCGCTCGCGTCCTTCCTCGGCTTTTTCCACGCTCCGTCCTGCCGCCCTTGCTCTCCACGCGGGAGTGCGTGAAGCAGAACGAAAGGAGGGTACGGACTGCTTCGCCTTTGGATTCGCTCCTTTCTTTCTGTGTCTCGCGAGATATATTCAGTTCTTTCGCACGATAAGATTTATCCCGTGGCAGTGAATTTATCAATAGCCGGACGAAGATTTGATCTAGATTCTGTGCCTAAACGTAAAGGAAAGAAGAAATTGTTAAAGATATTCATAAACAACTGTAAAAAATATTTTTACAATATGTTTGATTTATTTATTTTTTTAGTTTTAATGATCTCTTAGTTATCTGAATACTGCTTGAATACTATTATTATCTTATTTCTTTTCAAATAATCAGTTATCACAGAATTTTCATCGGAGAGTTTTCCATAAAATAAAAATTTTCGTATTTTTTGTTTCCTCTTCTAGAAGAAAATTACACGATAGAATCGACATGAAGCATAACGAGGGCAAGCATCACGGCGCAATCTCGAGTGGCGTGTTTAAGTTAAAATCGCGCATATTGTTAATAAATAATGTAGTAATGGGCGTTCGGGTTGAAAAGATAGCCGGTAAGTGCATCGGAACGGAGAAAGCCGCATTATTTACGCCCGCTGGAGACTGGCTGGCGGTGACAAGTTTAAAAAGCTGCGGGAAGTAATAACTAAGGTGTCCGCGGATTAAAAGGCGTGACACTGCTAGTTCCAGTGATCACTCTTCTCCGCAACGATGTAATTAAATCCTACATACACACGTACCTTTCTCTGCTCTTTACGACTAGGCTGCCTCGCGTGTCTTTTCCCTTGTTGCCAGTTGCGTCATATGTATAATGTTATACTAACTGCGACGACCCGGTCGTGACAATCAAGCCTCGAAACAATTCTGGTGATTGTACGTTTGAGACCTTGAAGCGCAAATTCGCGTGATCATTTTTTAACGGAACTTTTCATGAATCCAAAACGCGATTCGTTTGATATATGGTTTAGCCTTGAGAATACAATATAACTATTGTGTGGAGTATATTAACTGTCACATGTCTGAGTTTCAATGATGTTTATCTTAAAATTGAAATACCGACAATTAAATAAAGTGTAGGTCGAAACAACTAAGCTATCAATTAATTTGAACATTTTTAAATGAGCTAAATAAAACTAAAAATATTTCTTATTAAATCCGTCAATTTTTTAAATTTATTAATACGATTAATATTATATGACGATTAATATTTGTCACCCATATTATATAAAAAAAAAATATTAATACTAATATAAAAAAATCGGGTTTTTAATTGGAAAATTATGTTTTCCGATGTTCTATATAATATAATATTATAAATAGATATAAATAGATGACAGAGAAAATAGGGAAGGAAAATATTGACACAAAGATGGATTGTTAAAATTTTTATTTTCCGAAATTACACAGCCTCGCTTCCTTCAGTTATTTTCCAGGGAAATCCTGTAATTAGAAAAGCGAAAAATACTCGTCAGGGCACAAGCGTGCGCGACGGCTCCTCGTTAACGAATCGCGACTTAATGTCTCACTCGGCAAGCGAAATTGATAGCGGTGCAATTAGTAGACGCGTAAATTGTACGCGTCTTGTCGTTGCTCGCCGTGCGCGCGCGGTACGGCGGCCCATCTGTCCATAAAATGACAATGTACTCCGATGCGAGAGCGTGGTAGTAGTTACGTACACGGTAAAACGTTTAGATCCGCGCCGTGAGATAACCTTCGTCGTAGCTTACCGAGCGCGTCGCCGGTCGGTTCTCCCCCTTCCACCCTACCGCTATTCTTGTGTGTGCGATATACGGCCGTGTATAGATGTGGCTATACGCACCGTGCACAGTTCCTCCATGCGTACACGCACCGGAATACGCATCTCAAAACATTTTTTCCGCGCCCTGGTAGGCGCAGTGATGAGCTTGTCTCACAATCAGACGTAAAATACTCTCTCTTTTTCACTCTCTCAGATAAAAACACGCGATGAAAATGTCTCATCCCTAGCGCATGGATACTTACGCGTACTTACACGTAATTTTGATGAAAAATAAAATTTCGTTACCTGATACTTAAGGATACTAAAGCCTTATTATTTGAAAAGCGCAAGAATATTATTTATATATATATTTATATATATTTAATATAATATTAATTTTTTTATGATATAATTGAAGTAAAATTAATATTTATAGTAAGATCAGTATTTCGCATCTTGCATGAATGCTCTCCGACTAGATGCAATGTCGAACGGCAAGTGGCGATGCACGAGGACGAGACCTGAAAAATGATTGCTGTTTTAACGACTCATTTCTCTCTTTACGCCGCAATAAAACGGTTCGCTTTCATCGAGCATGTACCTCACAACGTCCTCGGCGCCATCGTTTCCTGTTTCCTTTCTTATCTTCATCGGTAGAAACAGGAAAATCCACGAAAGCTCATACATTATCTACCACGTACGGGTTCGCACATAACACTCACGAGAGACAAGATATCAGCCACAATGTATGCGTAACACGCACACACACACCACGAATCACCCGTTACGGAAACGTCGAATAAATTATTTCGCAGCCGTGCACAATTGTTAGAATTATCTACTCTTATGCTTAAAATTTAACTTGAAGAAAATTTGTCACTTTTGATCGCTTTTAATCGAAGAACTATCAATGTCCTTGATAGATCGTTATCAATTTTTGTTAAAGAGAAAGTTTTATTAAGTTTTACATTAAATGTATACTTTACATTTAATTTAGACTCATATAATACGCCTATGTTTCACTTTATTGTACATTGATCTTGCGGCCTTCGAAGGATATTATACTAATGTGCCAGCGGCAATACATTTCCAAGAGTTTAACGTAACGGAGAGACCGATTGTCTTGATATCTTCGTATTTAACTTATCGACTCTCTTCATCTCGCACGATTATAAAGTAGCTGCTCCATATAACGCAACGTAATGGGTTAATCAAGTTTCGCTTAGAGGGCTTGCTTCCGACTGATGTACGATGTCATTACGTTCATAAATCTTCAAGCCGCGTGAGAGAGAGAATGAGAGGGGGAGAGGAGGGGAGGAAGAAAGATCAGGTGCGACGCGAAAACAATATTTCTTCTATCCGTCATATGAGAAATTTTTCACGCCACACGTGAGTTAACATGACGAAATGCCGTGTAAAAGACTCGTACACGTCGCGCGAACTGCCGATGCGCCGGTCAGACTGATGGGACGACAGTGCGTTTACGTGCTAGATACGACACCAGATCCAGCCGTGCTCGTCCTGTAAACTAGGAAATTATTCAAATTAGCTAAGCAGGATTCAAGGGAGTCGCCTACCTAGAATGCAAAGGTTGCTCGGTCTTTGTTTTCGTGTATCTACCTGCACGACGCGGCATTTTTTCCTCTTATTCACGCGACGCTTTTTTTCCGAGGAAAAGTGCAACAGCGTCTATGCGACGAATACGAAATGCCATCGTGTCGGATGGATTGCGTGTGTGGCATAAATTTCGTATAATTTTCACTCTCTCACAGACAATTTACATCTAAAGTCGATTCTTAGAAAAAATTATATACTATTTTCATGCTTATATACATTTAGAGATGTGAATAAACATTTAAATACTAGGTTTGAATTATTAGCAGTTGTTATCAGCATTACCACATTCTATTGCTCGCACTGCGGGCAGGTGTTGCAAGCGAAATATTGCACATTGAAACAGAATTATTAGTAGCGAAGAAAAAATTGTGTCATTTTTATCTGACTGATTTTTAAAGGAGTGACTTAATTGCAGTGCACGCTCTCTGACTGATTTATTATACATGAAGTCAGCGTTAATATACATATAAATATATCGACTATATTATTATCCTATTATTATCCTTTTGCAGAGTGTTTTGTTGCCACACATTTTTAACTTCACGTTTTTTTCTTGCGAATTAACGATATAAGATATCAGATTAAAGATATAATATATCTTGCAAAATGAGAAAGTGTGAATCTTGAGGATAATAACTTAATCGATAGTCACGCGAGCACCTGTCGCATCAATATTATAATCAAGTGTGTTTTTTGTTTCTGTTGCAGAAACCGAGCCACCAGTGCCCAAAGTCAACAAGTGAGTAGAACAAGTATCGAGCGTGAGTACCCCTTCGCGCGTATTATAATTACAAACTCACAGAGAGCAGTTTTGCAGTGTTAATGCTTGTTTCGTGTAAGATTTATGCTTCTCTCGTTCGGCTCTGTACGTACACGCTCGCATGCATAAAATCGCGCGTGTGCAACTTCACCGACCAAGGTGACTCTTAATTAGATTCTAAATTACGCGGCAAAACGAGACGAAAACGTTTAAATTATAACTACGGTATTATGGCGTAAAACTGTGAGTCACTTTTCGAAAGGTGTTTCCTCGGAAACGATTGCGGTTGCACGCGCTTTGAGCGATTGATTGATTGAGTCGACCGTCGCATGATGAAGACGGAGAAAAGAAACACGGGTTCTGTAATACGCGGTTTCCGGTGATTTTTTCTGCCGCAACGTACATATACGTCGATTAGTAATTTCGATAATGATTGGAACAAAGGGGAGAGACTTGATAAATGAAATATATTTACGCGAGATGTAAGAATGTAAAAGTTACAACTGCAATTCTAACCACGATGAATACTTTCTTGATAAGCACGCAAATTTGTACGATGAGAGAGAAACTTTGAAGGTACGAAATGATGGAAAAATCTACATAAGAATAGATTTAAACTTGTTCATTACTTATCAAACGTTTCTAATATATTATTTCTACCAATTAAAAACTTATAAAGAAGATTGAAATAAAAAATAATCACATTTTTGAAGATATATTAGCAAAAATTATGTTAAATCTAAACGGTTTTCTTATAGAGAACATGCGATATCATAAAACATTTAGTAGAATGGGTACCGGTCGCGTTCAAAGGGCTCGACATAATTGAGAGATCACGCCAATTAGACGTGCCTTTAACTGCTAGACGGAAGTCGATACGTCCCCGGGCTCTGTATTTGCATTCTGATTATAAGCCTGTACAAAGCTAAAGCATCGCGGCATCTCGTTACATCGTGGCTGCCCACTACGAATTTACCGATGATAAATAGAAAAACATGAATACAATCCAGCTGTGAGAAATCGTCATCTCAATTTGCAAATGCGCGTACCTTTTTGCCGCTGCACGATTTTCATTGATTTCAAACCTCGCCTCCTCGTCTCTAACCGCCGGTCTGCATTTCCATTTTGATTATAAACGTACGTGATCACGCACACGGCGTGTCTCGCGATGGGTAGAAAGCTCGAGACACGTAAATACACATATCCTCTGCCGTCGCTTCTTACCTCGCAAGACGTTTAACGCGATGCGATCTTGTTAATCATAATTTTTATGATTATTGCAAATTAGAAAACTGCTTCGTTAATTTAATATTTAATTGATTTATTACGTGCACTTTTGTAAAAATTTAGAAATACGAAATTCACAATTATTATAAATCACAATGTACTAATTTATGGAAATGCAATCACGGAATTGTAATATTCAGTGCGATATTATGAAAGCCATAGCTTATCGTGTATTTTTATATACTTTATTCGATTTATACGACGCGCTCATTATTGTAATTCAAATATATCGAGGTGTGTGTAGTCAGCATTTTAATGACAATTAAGACGAAAGAAAGTGCTTGTTGTCGGGAAATAATATTAATTACCGGCGTAACGACGAGCTGAGGCGAGTTAGCCGCACTCTTTCTCAGAAATTCCAGTTCTCGTCTAAAGTGGATAGTATCCCGTCCGCAGAATCCGCATTTCCATTCCGATTACAAGCTGCTAGAAACGTACAATGTTGTATCCTCGCTATTACTCAGGTACCCTCGTATTATTGCTTCTGATGAGCGGCTCCTTTTTCTCCCTCTCCCCCTCTTTCTCTTTTTCTGTCGTTCTTTCTCTCGGGCCATGCTCCGTCTTCGTCTCTCGTTGTTTCTGATTTCTTCATGGGATTCCTGCGGTTCTACCGCGAACCGCGTGGAAAAAGACAGGATGTGCGCAGGATATTTCGACCTTGCGCGATTCCCGTATGAGCCATATGTGGCTCGTCCTTTTTTCTTTCTCTCGTGGTGTATAAGATAACTCTGACGCGCGGACCGAGGCCGCGACTGAATTTTCTCGTGGCACGCAAGCGGCGAACGAGCCTCCTTGTTAGACTAACGTGAGGAAAACACTTTGAATATTTTTTGCAAATTTTTCGCGAATTGATAACTTTATCGACTGCGAAAGATCAGCGTGTATTTTGATTATAATGATTATCCGTGACTCCAGTGTGTTGCAAAAGCGACGTTGCGAGTCGTATGCCACGCAGGTGTAATTTTTTTACATCTAAATTTATTTCTCATCGTATATTGTACATATTTGTACATTATTTTTTATTGAGAAGCTATTTTTATCATTTTTATAAATAGATTTAAATATGGGACAATTTGCTTCATTTAAGAAATTTAAACGAGAATCTCTTTTTACCTCAAACCTGTTTTCGGAGAAAGAATCGTTCCATTAATCACCATCTTCAGTAATTACAGGAGACTTTAATTATTATACTTTTCGCGCACCCGAGTGCGTAACTCCTTATTTTCGACCGCGCCTGAAGGCTTGTATTCGAATTTCGCGAACTTCCTGTCTTGCTCGGCAGTGTGGAATTATTCTCTTTACAATTACATCGGCGATAACAGGTCAGCTTATATCCTCGGCTTACGCCGTACGCAAATCCCCCTTTGATGTACCGACGGCGAGGATGAATTCACGCGAGCATGCACATACGCATCCGTTGATACGTTTGCATCTTATATTGTAGGAACGTGTTTGCCCATAGCGCGCCTGATTCCGCGCACACGGTGTATGCACGGCCGGCTTAGCGGCTCGGGCATACACCGTGGTTACGTTAGTCCCGCGCGCGTACGGCTTTATAATGAGTCGATCTTCGTTTGCACAAACGGCCAGCTGACGCAAGAAGAGGGCCCGCTCTCGACCGGCCGGTCGTGCGGCCTTTTACTCTTATTACTATGTTACGAGTCCGGTATTTCTTAATCAAGATAATTATTCTCGTAACGTCAAGGTGTCATGTTAAGGAGCCCCGTTGTCTCTCGTTGTTAAAAGATGAGGCGTATGCGCGCGGTGTTCCTTCTCTCGGAAAAGGTTCTGTCAAGTGTGCTTATTCGAGCGAAATTTTACTTCAAGCTGGTCTTGTTGGTTCGTTCGCTTCGAGACTCTTCCCGTCGTCATCATCGTCAATCCCCAAGATTCGCGCCGAGGCGAAAACGACCAGCAAAGGAACCTCGAACGGGGTTGCTGCACTGACGAAAAAAAGTCGCTAAAGGTGAATCGATCTTCTCTCCTCCGTGCCGCGCTGGAATAAATGCTATGTCGCGAGAGCGACCTACGTTCCGTCTGCATTCGATGATTCGGAGAATCTTTCCCGACAAGTGGTTAACGTTTATCAATAAGAGTCCATATATCTACATAATTTAAGAAATAAGCTTGCTAAAAGATCGGACGTATCTAAATATTATTTCTAGTTTTGTTCTTTGTAAGTCGATAATTTAACTTCTTCAATTATGTTCAAAAGCGTATTTGCAGAAGACTTTTGTAATAATATGTTTTTCCTAAGAAAATAATTTTAGACGAATCAATAATGCTTCTCTTTTTTGGTGAGGATTAGGATTTAAAAATAATGTATTTTTTATCTTCTCGTCACCGTTTAACATTTATTTATCATAAGGAATCATAAGGAATTTATCAAGACATTTTGTTTGTCGCATTTATAAGAAACTTGCAATGGAATACTATAAAAAGATATTCCGGATATTTTTGCGAGTATATCATATAAATTGTATATTAAATGGAAAATTAAACTTTCAACTATACTCTGCTTTCTACTGTTTCTAACGTGAGTGATACGTTATTCTAAAATATATGAGACTGCATTTCAAAACACAAATGGTCCGTCCTTTCCGAATGAAAGATAATACCAACCAAAATAGAATGTGGCAAAAACGAAAAGAAAGATTTGCAACTCACGTGATGCATTATGCTTCTCATCCTACAAGACGAACGAGTATTTCGTTAGATTTAGGGCCAACGCCCAGAACCCTTCCTTTCTCTCGTTGCTCTTTTTTTTCATACGTGGACAGAAGATGGCCCTACTGATGCCCAACGAATAGCTCTTGGTGGTTTAGCGCAGACATCGCTTGGGTCCTGCATAGGCGTGGTTAAAAAATTTGGCGATTACGAAAAATTAATTTTATTTCTTTTCTTTGAAAATTTCCTATCTGTAAATTTATAGAGAATTGTGATATTTTTTTTGCACAAATGTAATATTAAGTTAATTATTTATTTTCGCGAAATTCTGATTTTGCTATCAGTTCGGAGGGAAAGAGAAATATGGAAAGAAAAAAGGATCGAAACTAATAGAAGTATAGCGTCTATTACTACTTTTGTATTTTCGCGTTACATTAGCCGATCTGCATCGAGGATCCCATCAAGAGATCGACCCCGGGAGTACCGTCTTTCTTGACCTCTTGACACGATCCCTGACCCTTTCGCAATAACCAGGATGCATCGCACGCAACGGCAGTGCTTCGGAATGATCCGCGACTGCAGGCTCCACGGCATTACTAGTACTTGTACTTATACTTGTACCTACGCCGATACCAGTACCGGCACTCTATCATTGCTACTTCGTTGTTGCACTTTACTTCGTGTTCGCGTTCATGGCTTTGTGCTACCACGTATTTCAACTCGGGAACACTGTTCGTGAGAGAAGACACGCGGAGGTTCAAGATGATAATTCGATTCTCATAAAAGTTGACATTAATCCATATGCAAAATAGGACAGTTGGATAGAAATACTCGCAATCGGAATAAATTTTATCGTATTCATAAGCAAGTGGCTGTAATTATTAGACTCACAAATAATATTGTAAGAAGTACGAGAGATAAAAAGTAAAAACGGAGAGTGTTTATTTTTCGCGATTTTTTTGCACATTAGTGGATAGAAATACTCAATGATGTTGAATTTCAAGAGATTTGTGTCAAGTTACTAC